CACACACCTTGTTTGGTTCCCAGGTGCCTATCAAAGTTAAGCTTACACTCACTACCCTGCAGTCTGTTAAATGTGCAATAAAACCGCACTGCTGTGGAGCTGATACCAACTCAGCCCCCAACAGGGCACAGTAGAACTGCCTGAGGCTGCAGATAGTGAGAAGAGCAGTCAGCTTCACCTTCTGAACTGCTGACCTTGCAGTAAGCAGCCCAACACTCAACCCACGGACACCCTTGGGTTCCCTCGCTCAATTTCGGAAGGTTAATTAGATGCAGCTCCCATAAATAAGCATCAAATCAAATGAGCTGAGAGGGCACATGTGAGGTGGAAGGTGGACAAGGAGCTCCATTGCGTTCCATATGGCTCAGAAACCCCCAGCCTCTGAGGAGAAAGGTGTGGCTGCCTGCTCTCGAGAGTCAGCCTCAGAAACAGAGGGGCAGTTCTACTCTGTGTGATGGGGCTGCTGTGAGTCAGCATCAGCCCGAAGACAGTGTTTGTTATTTAAATGTTTTCACCAAAATCTGTATTATGTGCCCGCCCCCCACTTTATCTGAACAAAAGTTATTTTCTAAAAAATTAAATTTTGCTGTTGACTTAGATCAGTGTTTTCAAAGCACTTCACAGTGTCTGGAAGTAAGTCCCTCGGGACTGGGTAGGTGGGGTTTGGTGGGTCCCCACATGTGCACACTTTGAACTGTGTCACATGGTGGGTGTGTTCATCATGTTGGGTGCTATTTGGCAGGAAGGCTTGGGAGACCAATGCCCTGGTTGGTAGGCTGCCAGGGCGGACATGTGATCCCATGGGCTGTGGTCCTGTCCCTTCTCTGCACAGAAATGGGGGAAGGCCAGGCCTTGTCTCCACAGCAGGGTCACACAGGAGAGCCCCTCACTGAAAGAAGAAAGGGCACGTACCTGACAATTGCATCTACGCTGTGAAGGACTCCCACCTCACCAGAGCTGCTTCCCAAAGTGCGCCCACAGGCAGCAGTGCAGGCTTGTCTAGCAAGTGGTGAGGGGACAAGAGCAGCCCTGCCTTGACTGGCAGCACTCCGCACTTCC